TTGAGCTTCATTATCGATCCTTCCAATGAGCAATCAGGGTTGATTTCCTTTAAGATTGAATATATTACTATAGTAATATATTAATATATTATTGAAGACAAACCATATCAAACCTAAGCTGTTTCAACATATTTTAGGATTTTATTAAATTATAACTGTTACTAAAAAAAAAAAAAAAAAAACCAGGAACAATACATTCCTTTTTAAAAAGTTTTGACAGCTTAGTACCCTTATAGTAACTAGGAACTGGAGATGCTATATAATTTATTCATTATTAAATTGATAAAAATTGTGCCTGGAATGCACAATGCAAGAATGTATACTTAAATATGATTGCCTTTACTAAAATACAAAAACTGTATATTTGGTAAACAGCTCCAAACTTTTTGGAAGACATTCAATTTATTTATTATAGGTTGCTAGCAACTTATTTATTATAGGTGCTTCAGAGTAAGCAGGAGGAAGCATGCCACATTTGTCGATGCCTCCTTAAAGAAACGGTGTCTTTTCTTGGACTCACACAGTAACCAAATGTTCCCATGAAAATACATGTTAGGGAGGCACAGACAGGATACGCCAAGGTTCTCAGGAGTGGGTATGCTGTTGGTGCTTTTTAAACTAAAAAATGCATGTTTTCCTTGAATTGTGCAGTTATCGTATAGGCCCAGGAAAAAGATTCAGCTCCTTTAAGGAGGTATCCTGCCCTCTGGAACATCATCCCTCCCAAGATGACGTTAGCCCCAACCCTTGTCGCATTCTGGAAAGCCTTTAAATGTGGTTTTTTTCAACAGGATTGGGGATCCCCTGGTGGTAGGGAGCCCACATGATGGCTGGACTATGTGTGATATTCTCCCACTTGTGGTTTTGTTTTTATCTCTGTTTATTGTTTTAATGGTTTTAATGGTTTTTGTAGGATGTTTTAATAGTAGGTTCGTGTGAGATGGGTGGCCATATAAATCTGACAAATAAGTAGATTAAATAAATAAATACTCACCGAACTAGGTGTTGCAACAGAAATGAGAATCTGACTTCAGAATTCTGACTTCTTTAGCTGGTTTGTCTATTTCTCCTTCCATACCCCATTTGGGCAGCTCTCCAATTTAAAATAATGTGAATAAGTGAAGACATCAGGGCCAAAATACCCCAGAGGGAAGGGAGGCAGGATTGTCTTGCAGATTGTGTGAACTGAGAATGTCTAGCTTCTAGAAAACCCCTCTCTTACTTCAATAGGAAGAGGGGAAGTAATTGAAACTGACAAAAACTGTGTAAGTGGCATATAGGCATATACACACACACCCTACTCTATCGAACAAAACAGCAGAAGTATTTCCTTTCTTCTATCATATTGGAGGAGACCGTTTGGTGTAATGGTCAAGACATCAGGCTAGAAAGCAGGAGGCTGTGAGTTCTAGTCCTGCCTTTGTTGCAAAGCAAGATCAGTGACCTTGGGCCAGTTATAATCTTTCAGCCTTAGGAAGGAGACAGTGGCAACCCACGTCTGAAATCTGGCCAAAATTGCAGAGACTAGACCAGGCAGTTGCAGGAGTCAGCAATGACTTGAAGGCGTGCTCATGCACACACACAGAAACTTACTTTGGAGGGCAGAAAATAAAATTCAGTGGGGACAAATGGCTGTGATAGAGGCTGGCTAGTGACTCGGAGGAAGGGGACATTCCCCCCCCCCCCAAATTCCCCAAACAAACCTCTGATCCCAGCCACAAGAATTCAAAGGAGCACCTTCAATGAAATGGGTGACAAATTACGGTATAACAGATTTTACACATCTTGAGGCTGTTTTTGGATGATTCCAGAACAAGGTTCATCCACAGTGCTGGTACATCTAATGCTGACCAACCTGTTTCACTCCAGGGCCAGGATGAGATAAGACCACTGTCACGGGAATATCACTGCAAATGACTGTGGTCAAGGCATCACTGTGTTCTGGTTAGACGCAAGTGGGGATAGGGCCTCAGCTATAATGCGATTTCTTGGTTTTGGCTTAGAACATTATGTGATCTGTGGTTTCTTTCATCACAGTTAAGCAAATTCCATGAGTACCACGATGTCTGAACTAAGCCGCAGTCTGCTTGTGCTCTGACTTAATGCACTTCACATAGCCAGATTCTGAAATCGCCATGCAAGTTATGCTTGGGCGGAAGACTTTTTCTTTTGCAGCGCCACTTATAATGGGGCCGGTTGGCAGGCAAATACTCAAGAAAAAAAAAGGAGTGCGAACAGGCGTCCAGTAGCTCGCTTGAACTTTGAACGACTTCTCTCTGTCGCCGGTGGTGCCGCCACCGCCTCCTAGGAGGAGCAAACGACACCCAGCGCTGCAACCAGGCGCCCCGGACTGGCCATTCCAGGGCTTCCTGCACGGTCGGACTTAGGCGTCGGCAACCTCCTGTTGTCGCTTGAAAAAAAAAAAGGGGAAGATTCCTTCTTTCCCATCCGACCTAGAGACGCAGGGCACGGGAAGAGGAGGAGAGTTATGTCGGGCCGTCGACACTGAATGGAGAATATTAGGGGGGGTTGAAAGTGAGACAGACTTAGGGCTGTGATAAGACCGTAGATGGCTGCGTAAGGAGGAGAGTTGAAGGGAGGCGAATTTGGGGTGGAGCAGAAAACACTGGTGGGGGGCGGGAAAGGCGGTAGGAAAAAGCACCGAGGTACAGGGGTGGCTTGCAAGGGACTCTCGTGCGTTCCGTACTTGTTTTTCCTCTCCTCTCCTCTGCGCGAGCAAAACTTCTGTGGCGTAAAACTGAAACCAGGTGCTCTTCTGCGGTGGCGCAGCAGCTCCTTCTCGGGAGAGGCGAGTAGAAGCCTGGCGTTTCCTTTCTCTCTCTCCCAAACCCCCTTCATCTTTTTTTTCCCCCTTCCCCGGCCTGCCTGGGATCTCAGCTCGCGGCTCCGTCGCTTTTCTTTTCCTTCCCCAGCCTAGCTTTCTTCCGCCCGCCCCGTTCTGTGAGCGGGAGCGCCGAGGAGGTACGACAGAAACACGTGAAAGCGAGAAGCAAAAAACAAAACAAACGCGGAGTTCCAGCCAGTAGAGGCTTGGCAGCGTGGCTGCCTAGGAACAGGAGAGCGCAAAGCCGAGGAGAAGGTGGCGGTTTCCCTCCCGAAGGGGGCTCCTTTTCCCCACCCCTTTCCCTCGGTTCGTCGGGGAGTTTCTTGTCCCCGACGCTGACAGGTGCTCCTCCGAGCCCGTCGCGAGCCCTCTCGCCCCCTTCGCTTCGCCCCCTCCCCCGGTTTCGTGAGGATTGTGGCGCCCTTGGGAAGCTGATTATGCTTTGAACCTTAGGAGAGGAGGAGGGAGAAAACCCTGGAGACAGAGGAAAGAAAGACTGTAGCCGAGGAAAAAGTTTTGGATGGGATTATGTGGAAACTACCCTGCTCTTCTCTGCTGCCCGAGCAGGCTCAGTGCTGCTGCTCTCTCCCCAGCGGTACAGTCTTCGCGGGCTGGTGGAGGTGGTGAGAACGACGACGCGGGGAGCACTTGAGCTGTCGGCAAGGACTTGGCGCGTGTGTTGTGCGTTAGAGAGCTTCCACCCCAGCCTACCAAATGCTCCTCTTCGGGATCTTCTCGCTGACACTTGCCCTGGTCAGCCAAAGACCGGGAGTCCACGCCGAATCAAACCTGAGCAGCAAGTTCCAGTTCTCCAGCGCCAAAGAGCAAAACGGTAAGGCGTCTTTCGGCGTGGGTTTGTGTGTTTTGTCCTGTCTCGAAGGTACACAAAAGAGTCGGAGCAATCCGTGCTGGGGAAGGAGGAGTCGCTGAGACAGGAAGGATTTTCCTTCTCCTCTGCTTTTGCAGAGCCTCAGGGGCTGGGCTGTTGGTGGAGCTTCTGGGTGATTTTTAAAAGCGCGGCTGGGTTTTCACTCTGCGAAATCCCATCCTGTGTCAGCCCCGGGCGGGCAGTACTGTAAAGATCTCAGTTGAAACGCGCAACCTGGGAGGGATAAAATCGCTCTCTTCGCCAGAGTGAGCCTTAAAAGATTGAAGCTAAAATGAATGAGACTTGGCAGGTCCGGCTTCACGGTGTGTTTTGTCACTCCAGGAAACTTGTCAGCCTCGTTAACTGAAACAGGATAGGTAAAAGGGCACCAATTAAGAAGGCAGGAATAGGAAATAGATTATCTCTCCCCCCTCCCGTTTTCTGAGTTTTTGTATGTAGGGGGGTTATTATGATGTGTCTGATCTAATCACCATTTTGTCGCCTCCACAAGTTTGCCTCTGTGTAGTGGAGGTTAATGGAGGATGAGTTCTGTTTTCTACATGCTGGAAACAAGCTGATATGCATAGGAACTGTGAATCACTTCAAAAAAAGGAGGTTTCAAGTGTACCTGAAATGTTTAGAAAACTCTCAAATTAGGCTCCCCTGGGTTGGGGCTGGGCAGTCTTGGAGAAAGACTCCATTCATGCAGAGGGCAGTTTCTGGGTGTGTAATTTGCTTAGCCTTTGAATGCCATATGATTTACATTATTTAGATTTTTAAGACGTTTCTCTTTGATCTTCTATTACAAAGTCATTTAAAGGAACACTTTGCAAACAGAAATGTTATATGCCACATGAAACCACACCATGAATAGAGGCTGCCTAAATTTAGGCTATTAAACACCCTGTTTTCCAGTGGTGGATGCTAATGTAAGGGGGAAAATGTTATAGTAGTTTCCTTCTGAGCCAGAAAGACGTGATTTCATCTCTACATAAACTAGCCAAACAGGCGTAAATAAGAGGCAAAAATAAATAAATAAATCTTAAAATTGCAGTAGGAAAAAATGAACACGGTACTGAATAAAGGTCTGCTTTGAACACATTAGCACATTAGAGCCCTGTATTTTCTGAAAAAATACATCTTCCTTAATATATATTAAATTTTCTGGCAGAGAAAGAGAAATAGGCTGCTCCTCTTGATGGTAGTTTCTGCAACTGAATTCAGCAAGAGAGTTTCATATTATTAGCAGATGGCACCTGCAGACATCTAGAGACTGTTGGTCAAAAAACAGTTCAGTCCCTAGCTAGGGTATTGCAGAGGGTCTGGGGAAACTGATCAAAAGAATCGAACTGACATCTGTATCTATTGAAAACTGACCACAGTAACATTTGTCCTTGACCAGAGGAAGGCACTTACCTTCTGCACCTCATTCATCTATTAGGTTTGGGGGAGGAGGTTGGTTGTTTGTTTTTGGGGAATGAAGATTTCAGAGTTCCATCAGATGTCTGTTATAAACAATTACTGGAAGACATGTCTGAAACTGTAATCCTAATTATTCTAGCTGGCACACTTCCTTTTAAACATTTTTTGTGGAAATGAACTTAGTAGCTAGTGCAATTCTTGGTTTGCATTGTCATTGTCACCCTGGCTTTCACATTTTAGACAAAACAGGGGGCTATTGTTGGCTTAATTTGTAATCTGTAATTCCCTAAGGAACTTACATAAACTATTTGCATGTATGTACTTATGCTGTTGTGTCACATACAAGTGTTATCTCAGGAATGCAGAAGTCATCTTTCTTGATAAAACTATTTTAAAGAACTATTGTGGCCTAAAATGCATTAGCAAATATATTAGGTTAGATTTATACAAACACTATAATATAGTATTGTATAATGTAGTTTTGTTCTTCATAAAACAGCCACTGTGGTTTGTAAATCATGAATAATGGTTTAGTGTGTTGTGTGAACCTAGCAGCCAGTTGTATGAGTTAGCGCAAAATGCTAATCCACAGTTACTTTAGCTATAATTTACTAAATTAATCTGATTGCTCAGCACATTATAGTATAAATTAACCTCACTGATTTGCTTTACACAATAGACTAAGCCCCCAATCAGATAACTGCTTTTTAAACTACCCAGTTTTAACAAACTGCCAGTTTGTTATGGTATTGCTGTTAGTGGTGATTTTCAATTGATATGGAATTTAATTTTGCTCATGTACAAATTCAGTTTGTATAAATAAATAAGGGAATAGAATGTATTTTACCAGAATTTTTGCAGGATTTTCTTAAATTTTAAGGTAAATAATGAAAAACAGCAATAATCCCATTTCATAATTATTGATTGTTTGTCAATCAATTTATGTACCTGCATTAAATATTACTTTTATTTTGGTTTTCCTCTTCTTCACTAGGAAAGTGCAGTGCTACAGATCCAAGCAGAAAATGTGCTTTGGAGAGGTGTGGACACAGTGTATCTGTTGGCACCTTCCTAAAGAAACTACATCTTTTCCTAGGCTCACATGGTAGCTATGTAATCTCAGAAAAAATATATATATAGAATAAGGAGGTGCTCAGAGTGTGCCCATGCCCACTCTGAAGTATCTTGCTGCAATTTGATGGTGCTTCCTTAACCCCAAGTATGTGTTTTCCTTGGCGCATGGAGCTACTAGGTGACAGGTGTGGTGGCATACATGCCCCCATCCCTTCAAAGCCCTTTTTATTCTTTGGATCTGAAGTGCTGCACATTCTTATTTGTCGCAGAGGCACAGATTTTGATGTAAAAGTTGAAGGAAAATCATGTCCGTAAGCATGAGATGTTAGAGTGTCAGTGTGGTGAAGTGATTTAGATGCTGGACTAGGAGCAGGAAGACCCAGTTTCTAAGTTCTAAGCCATGCAAACTTACTGGATGATTTGAGTTCTGTGTACACTGTCTTAAACTCCTGAATGAAAAGTGGGATATAAAATAAATATGTCTAGAATTTCATTCATCCTGGCTGAACTAGTGGTGTTTTCAGTCTACTGCACAGTATTAACCATTTTTGTTTGTGAATTACAAACAGAGTAAACAGCATGAAATTGCCAGTGAAAAGGTGCTCTGTGGGGAGCACGTTAGTGTATATAGTCATAATACTGTAGTAATGTCAGGCTTGCTTATTTATTTATTTGGAGTCTTCTAGTCCAATTACTTCCTTGTTTACTTGGAAGTACACTCTACTGAGTTTATGGCATTCATTCTGGAAAACGTATGCCAGGAATGAAAGCTATAGAGTCAGATCTTAACCACAGGACTTAATAGTGGATATCCATGGCACATGGAAAGCTGTCAGATCAAACTGCGTCACTCAGGCCTTTGGTGAGGGTGATTGAAGGGCCATGTGGGTTTGCTTTGGCTGTTGTCCAGTTTAAGCCATCTTTTGTTCTTTCTTTTTTTTATCATTGTATTATTTTATTGTTCTGTGTGTTTTTATTGGTGAACTGCCCAGAGTTGCTGGGAGTTGGACAGTGTAAAAATTTAATAAATAAAGAAAATAAGGCAGGCTCTAACTTAGCCACCTAAGTGGAGGCCTTTCATATTGTCTGCCACTGCAGCCTTTTAACTGGAGGTGTCTGGATATGATCTACTGTTGAGCTGTGGTTTTCCCCAACACCTTTACATAGTACTGTTCATAACTCTCTGGAATGTTAAAAAACGCTTGTCATACATTATACTGTTACCTTTACTGAAACACTGTAAAAAATTAATACAGTTTTATACTAGGGCTATGCAGCAGTGTAGATTTCAAAGGGAAATGGTGATTTGGAGGGTGCACGGGTTTTTTCCTTTTGAATCTAAATTGCAGCATGCCCCTGTTTTATCCCCTTTTTCAAAGTGTGCTTTTTCTAATGAAGTTCTAAAGTTCAAATGTAAATAAAACAAGACTTCGCATTTCTGTGGAATAAAACACGACTATTCAGTTTTGTGAGCAGCTAATGGTGCCCTGCTCTCTTGCCCATCTTTAAGATATTTTAGGATATTTTATGTAGCATGCCATGGTATAAGAACTTCATGTTAGTGGTCCTATAGCTATAAAACTCTCTGCCTGAGAAATAAATATGGTTCATTCATTAGAAATGTTTAAGAAACAACATACAACATTTTAATCTCTCCCCTTTGTGTATTGCTCATGCTTTTATGAATTAGTGTTTAGCTGTATGGCTCAATTTTAAGGAGATGTAATAAGATGTTTAAAAATTGTTTTTGAGTCTTATATATTGTTCTGAAAAGGTAGTTGCTCCCTAAAAGACAGTGAATAAATCAGGTAATATGTAAATATTCAATACAGTATCTGGGCTGTCTGTTCAGAAATAAGGTCCTTTACATAATCCTGTGCAGGGTGTGGTTATTTGGGGGACCACCATACAGTCTGGCAGAGTCAGCATGCTCCAGGTCCCATTGATTAAACAGTGTCACCTGGTGGGATCTGGAAAGCAGGCCTCCTCTGTCATGGCTCCAACCCTGTGCAACACCATTCCTCTCAAGATTTGTGCAGTCCCCACCCTGGCATGTTTAAGGAAGCCCTTAAAACCTGCTTCTGTTTCCAGGCCCTGGGTTAGAATGGATGGTAGACCCCTTGGGTGGGATGTTTTGGTTGTTATGCTTGAAACAATATTTCTAACTTGTTGTCCTCCAGATGGCTATGTTGGCTTGCAATTCTTGGAGTAATTAAGACATTTGGCAAGCTAAATTAAAATATTACAGTGTTGGTGGGTTGAAATAGAAGTATTGAACTTAAAGTTAAGAATATCAGAAGTATTCTATTTTATAAAGATTCTGAAAGGGTAGTTGGCTTAACCAAGTCAATATTTAAAACTATTATGTTATTTACATTATACTGTAATGGATTAATTCCTTGTTATGCAGAATATTAACATGTAAAGCTCAGTCCTGCATGCAGTACCTTGATTAAATCTCATTGACG